CTTACATTAATTAATTTATGAGTTGAGCAAGATACTTTCGGATCACCCTTTAACTGATTAATAAAATAATAAACCAGCCTTATTTACCATCATTTCGAACCTAAAGAACCTGAAAGTTATGACTTGAAATATTTGAAAAATCTGCTGCACCTTTATTTTTGAAGAAATTAATCAGCTTACCACATTGCTTAATCTTGAATTATGGTACTATAACTTGTAAAATTTACTGATTCATGCTCCTACTTCTGGTGTGGCGTTAAAAACAAAATTCAGATTCTTCATCGTCATCTTCTTCTTCTTCTTCTTCAGTCTTTGGCATTTTCATATCATTTGAATTAATTTCAAGATTTTCTTCTTTGTTTTTGAAATTTTCCATTAAACTTCTTCCGTTTCCAAATTTTCTTGATCTTGGATCTGGCCATGAATATAAATCATTTAAGTCTCTGGTTGAATCTTCTTCTTTTTCCCCCTTTATAGCTTCAACTTCGCTAGTGATAGATTTCTTTTGCCCCAATTTAAATTTAAATAAACCACATTTTTTGATAAACTTTTTGATTTTACCTTGTCTTTGGTCCAAAGGTGATTTGTTGGTTTCATCTCTTATTTGTGGTCCAGATTCTTCGATACTCTGTCTTATTGGACTTTGCAAGTTTGTTGATGCAAGTCCTTCGATACCTTTAAACCAATCTAATTTCATCAATTGAGGATTTTTATTTAAAGTTTTAATAATTTCATCTTTATCAAATCTATTCCATTCCTTACATTCATCATAAAGTTTATTTGAAATAATATCACAAACAAAATATTTTGTTATCTCATCTTCGTCAATGACCAAGTCATCTTCTGATGTAGCAGTTGAGTACTCCGGAGGAAAATCAACAAACTTTGAATATTTTGGTGGTAAATCAGAATAGTTTGATTCAAATAATATTATTTTATGCATTCCAAAAATTTTTGATCTAAAGAGCTTGTTTTTTTCAATGATGGTATTTTCATTTTTATTTGATACCACTTGGGGTATGAAATAATAATTATTTAAATCTTGAACAAATTTGTCCTTTTTTGAACAATATTCAACTGATTTAACTTTTCCAAAAGAAACTTTTTTGTTCAAAGTGCTCTTTTTCAAAATTGGGGGAGCATATTTTTCCCAAAATGATAATTTAATGGGTGATTTTTTCATTTCTTCATTTGCTTCTAAAGCTTTTGATCTAATAATTTCCCTTTTGGATTCTTTAATATATTTTCTTGTTTCATATAAATTAGTTTCAATACCATCATCTTCTGAAGTACCATCATTGGAATTTGGATGGTCATTTTCATCATCATAATCATCACTAATAATAATGAAAGGGTCAGGTCCAGTTCCATCATCATAAATT